CTGCCACAGCTCTTCACAGTCTGACTGTGCATCAGGAATGTGGGGGACTTTTAGCTGGCTGCCCATACCGCAGCACCCTATTTGAGAACTACTGTTCCAGAACAATTAGACTCCTGGGAGATGTTACATTTTTCATCATGTAAAAAAATGTAACATGCTATATACATTCAATCAATTTATCATGCGATAGATATGGCAAGCCAGCCACAAAGATGTTCCATGTGTAATTTGAATGTGTGGCACGTTTAAAGGGTACCTGGGGAGCCCAGTCCTACCCGTTACTTCTGGTCTGCTCACAAAACTATAAATTTCCTGGGTCATAGGAAACCTGGCACTAAGGAGCCTTTAAAGCTGTGCTAGGCAGCCCAACTTTGGGGACTGGTATCTGATGTCAGGCTGCCCAAGTTTAAAGTGCTGGCAAGTTTAAAGTGCAGCTTTAAACTTGCCAGCACCCAGGGAGCCTGGCATTGAAAACTGCATCCCTGATGCTGGGATGCACAGCGCAGCTTTAAAGGTCTTGGTACAAAATGGCATCTGAGGAATTGTATCGTGTATCCCAATAAGTGCACATTATGCATATCTTGAATATCTGGCATAGCAAGAAGCATGATTTTTTGAGATCCAGGATAAGATTCTCAGATCCCATCATACAAATTAACATTTCCCAGGGGCATTACTCTGCATATGACAGCCTTAAAGGGATAGGTAGAAAATAGTTTTGTTGTAATTGATAAATCATCAGCAGGTATGAGGAAGAGGAAACAGAACAGAACTATAATGCAAATTGTGGGTAACTTGACTAGTAGATAACAAGTTCTGTTGGTGCTTTATTGTTTTCTGAAACGGGTTAAAACTAAAACATACTGGATAAATTACAGTATTGTAAAATCTACTTACCATTGATATTTGCCTTTTTCCCCTGTATTCAAATGAGACGCCCTGGTGCTTATAAGATAGCAAGTTTCCCAAAATTTAAAGCATTTTCTGGGGGCAAAAATTAAAAACACATGTATGAGGTGGGGGAAATGACTGAAAGTTTTAGAGCATCTTCTTTTATATCCAAAATCACTTTTTAAATTGCATATATATTATTTCACTTGGAAAAAAAATCATCGTTTTAAAAGGAGTGCGAAAGCAGCAATTTTAGAGAGAGAAAAATCAATATCAGCTGGAGAAAGGTTGCTTGTATTTTAATATAAATTGGAAGTTGAATGTAGACAATTGAAAATGGAAGCTAGAGATATTGAAAACACCTTTGGCCAATAAGATTAAAGCTTTTTCTTACATGAGAGAGAGAACCTGCCAAAGAAAAAGTGTTCAATATTGCTGTTCTGTATTTGGGGGCAGGGGGAATGGCCATGAAATGCTCTTTATTTCAGCAATATCAACATATCAAAAAGAATCTGTTCGTTTAAACACTTAAGTTCATGGATCCAAATAATTTGCAGGAAGGAGTTCTTGAACAGTTGGCTCAAGGGTACTGTGGACAGGTGATGGATTTCAGATACGTTTTGAAAAACTGAGGAAATGACAGAAGTCTGGAAGATTGTTATGCCTATGTTTTATAGTGGAACACGTGATGTGACCCAGGGAATTATACATCAGTTATCTTGTCATGGGTCCTACACGAAATAAGTGAATAAATATCAGTAAAGAATTGAGGGTGGAAGATGGCCAACACCAGTTAACAGAATTTTATGGAAAATAGCTCTTTTCAGAATAAGGTAAATTAATGTACTTGGACTCTTATAAGGTATCTTAACTTAGTATTATACTGCTTTATCTCTTAAATAGCATTATGCAAAATCAATATAGCTTAGCAAGTAAATTTTAAACTATTTTAAATTTTGTTTTTATACTTCCATTTTTTTAATCCTTGGTCATATAGTAAATAATATGGGCTGTCTGGTTACAAATTAATATTTGCTAAATGGGAGATGGATTGTTCTTAAAAGCAGTGACTCTGGAAAGGGCTTAAAAGTTATTGTAAATGATAATCTAGGAAAAGTTAACTCTCAATGTTTGGATACATGAACAAAATGTTTTCCACTCATGACATTCTTATTTGCTCTCTGTATGGTGTCAGTGCTCTCAGTCCTGGATTAGTGCCTCAGAAATCAGAACGTCGGCACTTAAAGTACTCCTGCAGGAA